GAGGCAGACATCTTTCCAGCCCAGAGGGGAATTATCTCGGGGCTAGAATCTTCCCAGCTAGAGGGGGGTTTATCTCGGGTTTAGCAGGTCTCTGGTCGGGGAGGAGTTTGGGATGTTTCTGGAGATGTTATTTGTGGTTTATGGTCACGCTGGCCTGAGCCATTAGGCTGATGCCCTTTGGATTTAGGTGTTTTTTTTTTTTTTAATTAAGGTGAACTTTAGAATGAGGGGCTTTTCCAAAACGGCAATGCTCCTGCTCTGTCATTGTGGAAGAGCGGGTTGGTTAGATGGCGTCTGGTGGTGTATGGGTGGTAACTGCTTTACTATTGCTTATGTGGAGGCCAGTGCTTGTTTGGCTGCTAAAGAAAAAGAAAAGCCTTGTAGCCATTAGAACAGAACTTATTCTTGGAGTGACTTAACTCTTGCCTGGCATGGCCTTAGGTCTTGTTTATAATTTTTGTATCTTATTGCCACAAAGAGTCTGTTCTGTCAGTCTCCTGGTCTCTGTTTTAACAACAATGCTGGCCAGTTGTGTTTAAACTGTAAGAGAGGGTATAGGCAGGTGCAGTGGTTCATGACAGTACTATGGGAGGCCAAAGTGGACAGATCACGAGGTCAGGAGATCGAGACTATCCTGGCCAACATGGTGAAACCCCATCTTTACTAAAAATACAAAAAATTAGCTGGATGTGGTGGCACCTGCCTGTAGTTCCAGCTACTCAGGAGGCTGAGGCAGGAGAATAGCTTGAACCTGGGAGGTGGAGGATGTAGTAAGCCGAGATTGCACCACTGCACTCCAGCCTGGGCGACAGAGCAAGACTCTGTGTCAAAAAAAAAAAAAAAAAAAAGAGAGAGTTTAATGGTATAATGAGGCATATCTGAACTCCCATCAGAAGGGAACTTAGCTGTGAACTAAGTTTTTAAGTGTTTTTTGTGAGCCTTCTTGAGCAAAAGGGGTTCCATTCAGTCATTAGGGGCTTAGGATTTCTTTAGTTTACAGCTGTGAAACTATGTTACTGTTTAAGTCTTTTAATGTTGGGGGACATGGGTGGATAAAATCATTTGTGTTGAGAATCTGTAGTTTAAATAGGATTTGTGCTCAGAGGAATGTGTCTGGAGTTCACTGGTCAAGGAGAGAATCTTTGTTAACTGTCATGTAAAAAATGGGAGTATGCATTATTTCCTCCTTCATAAAAGGAAAGTCTCCATTTCCTTCCTCATAAAAGGAAAGTCTCCATAACTGTCTTGAATGCCATTGTATGAGAGCGTGATGCCCGGCGCTGCAGCATCTACCTTGAGACCACGAGGAAACAAACAGAAATGTGAATAGCCAACTTCTTAAGGATGATAATGTGGAAACTTAGAGTGTTGATCTTTGATGACATCATGGAAACATGGATCTGTTAAAATAATTAAATAGGGGGCCATTAGACTGAGGTAGCTCTAATACCATGGGTTTCTACATAAGCAAACCAAAGCCTAACTCAGAATTTAACAGAAAATGAAACTTAAGCTCAGCTAATCACAAGTGGTCAACTGGGCATTAGTTGAATTGTGTTGAACTTCCCATAGGAATAATTCAAATAAGGTACTTGATCAAACTTTGACTAATCAAATAATTTCCTTGCTCTATGTGCACATCAACTCTACAAAAGCCTTCCTCTGGTGCCACTATTAAAAAATTCTTCTTTTCTGCTTTTAACAAGGTCCATTGCTTCAACAACTGGTGGCACTTTATTTTTTTTCTTTTTTTTTTTTTGAGATGGAGTTTCATTCCTGTTGCCCAGGCTGGAGTGCAATGGCACGATCTTGGCTCACTGTGACCTCCACTTCCTGGGTTCAAGAAATTCTCCTGCCTCAGCCTCCCGAGTAGCTGGGATTACAGGCATGTGCCACCATGCCCAGCTAATTTTGTATTTTTCGTAGAGATGAGGTTTCTCCATGTTGGTCAGGCTTGTCTTGAACTCCCCACCTCAGGTGATCTGCCCGCCTTAGCCTCCCAAAGTGTTGCGATTACAGGCGTGAGCCACCGCGCCCGGCCACTCTTTAACATTTTAATATACGAAAATTTATCTTTTAACAATTCCAAATCTGGATACATCTATTTCTAGCCCCCTGCCCCTTTTTAAAAAATAAACTTTAAATTTCAGAATAGTTTGATTTACTGAAAAGTTGCAAATGTAGTACAGAGAATTCCTGTGTATCTCTCACCCAGTTTCTCCACAAATCAACATCTTACTCCTGTGGTACATTTGTCGCAACTGGAAACCACGATTGTAACAGTACTACTAACTAAGCTCCATGCTTTATTTGGATTTCACTACCTTTCCTCCTAACGTTCCCTTCTATTCCAGGATCCTCTTCAGTGTCCCACACTGCATTTAGTTGTCACAGCTCTCTAGTTTCCTCTGGTTTGTGACAGCTTGTCAGAGTTTACAGCTGGCCGTCTGTATCCTCATGTTCTGCATCTGGGGATTCAACCAATGAAGGAGGGAAAATTAAAAACTGAAATAAAATAATTAACAATATAAAAGCAAAAAATACAAATTATACATATAACAAGTATTTACATAGCATTTACATTGTATTAGGTATTATAAGAAATCTAGAGATGATTTAAAGTATATGGGAGGATGTGCATACGTTATATGCAACTATTACTCCATTTTGAAAGCTGTCAGAATCAAAATGGAGTCACTTCGTCAAAACCGTGATAAATGAAGCTGGGGAAGGCCTTGAAGGAAGGGTTCTCAAGCACTACGCCTCACAAAAGACTCCGCAAAAACCATAACCTTGCATAAAGGCCCAATCTTACATAGAAGATACTTCTGCAGACATCTGTCCAGCAACTTTAGACTGCTACCCTTGTTATTGATCCCTGCAGCCAAGGATAACTGATTTAAAGCAATTCATGTAATCTTAATTTTCCTTTTAAAAACATCTCTTTGCCTCAACCTCCCCCAAAACGCACATAGTTTACTATGGCAGCATATTCCCATTGCAATGCTCTCCCAGACAAATATATTTTCTTTTAGGGAGCCTCTTTTGTTACTTAGGTTGACACCATCATTGTATATAAGGGACTTGCACATTCTAATTCTGGTATCCGCAGGGTCCTGGAACCATTCCCCCACTGCCACTAAGGGACGACTGTACTTGTTTTTCATGACAGAAAACATGTTTTAGGAGTACCTTTTTTTTTTTTTAATGGAAGAAGTAGGGTTATGGGTTTTGGACAGGAACATACAATCCGTATGACTTCTTCCTGATGGCGTTATCCTTGACCACCGGGCAAGGTACTGTTTGCCCGGTTTCTCCACTGTACCCCCAAGCACCTTTCCACACTGTACTCTTTGGAAACAAGTCACTAGGCGTAGCCCATAATCAACATGCGGGTGGGTGGGGCAGAAAGAGCTCCTGCTCTTGGAAGAAACGGGTATTTAGAGATATTATTTAGAATTTTCCTGTGAGGCGGGTCCAGGGACTGGACTGAAACGATGGAAGGGGGGCGGGGACTGGCAATCGAAGGGACTGGACCTGGCAGTCAGCCTAGTAGGAAAGATCGAGGGCGGGTCGGAAAGAGCCGCGCGCCCTAGGCAGTTTAACTCCGTAAGAGAAGACTCCGCAGGCCGACTCTTCAGAGCACAGCTTGCCCGCCCACCGGTCACTGAGTTTTCCGACCTCTGACTAGACGTAGGGGTTATGGGCGTTTCCGGGCGCGCACCTCGAACCCGCCTGGATTGGGCATGGGCAGCGAGTCAGGGGAAACTGCTCATGCGCGAGCCGGAAGCAGCAACCCGCGGGGGAAGAGGCGGACCCGGTAGACTGACGACTTGGATTGCTTAAGGACGCGAGGCAGTTGCGACGGCCTTCAGCCTCTCCCTCTGCGACTCTGGCCCGTACCTTTAACTTGCGTTCATTTGGGGCTGTTTGGTGTTTCCACGTGCCTTGGACTCGCCCACTGCAGCCGCCATCTTGGAGGCGGTCGCCGGCGCCCAGGTGAGCTGGTAGGACTTCCGGGTCGGGCCTCTAGTTGCCGGGGTAACCGGAGCAGAGTCGCCCTGGAGCGTTCGTTGGTCTTTCATCCATTAGCGTAAAAAGAACTGACTTCAGGTCGCAGGTCCCTTCCATGGCGGGCATTATCGTGTGCGCTGCAGTAACCTCTCATCGTGTGGAATCGTTCACTTAGCGCATATTGCTCCAAGGCGCTGCGGAACGCTAGGGAGCCTGAGGCCCGGGGGTCCGATGCCCGCCTGGCTGGCCTGTGGCGGCGGGAGCGGTGTGTGTCGGACTGTAGGTCGGCCTCGAGGCTAGCGTTTGACTGTGGGGGCGAGGACCGTGCCCGTGTCTGTGGCAGTCACCGGTCTCCACGTGGTTCTCAGCAGCGTGTTAGTGGACAGCTCTCGCGAGGGCCCGGAAATCTTGGAACTTCCCGGCGCGGTCTGTGGACTGAACGCTGGGCCCCGGACCGCGCTAGGTGCGATTGCCTCCGGAGCTGGACTCGCCGACTTTCAATAAGTCAAATAATGAACCTTGCTTAAACTGCCGAAGTGCGGTTTTAATACTGCCTGGAGTTCTTGTCTCTTAACTCATTTCTGCCCTCTTATGTTTTACGAGGAGATTTATTTCATTTTTATTTTTCATTTTTATTTATTTATTTTTGAGATATAGTCTCCCTCTGTCGCCCAGGCTGGAGTACAGTGGCGCAATCTTGGCTCACTGCAGCCTCTACCTCCTGGGTTCAAGTGATTCTCCTCCCGCAGCCTCCTGAGTAGCTGGGATTACAGGAGCGTGCCACCACGCCCAGCTAATTTTTTGTTTTATTTTTAGTAGATTAAGCTGTAGTTACTAGGGCCGAAGATTAAACTGTTTTAGAGGGGCTGATATAATGGGAATTCTGTTACTGTAGGGATCATGATTTAGCTCACAGTATAAACCTTTTATGTAGAAAAACACTTGAGAGAATCAGTACACCAAAGCACACAGTTGTTTACTTAAAGGTGCAAAGAACAGTGATAATCATATAACTGGAAAAACAAAGGTTTTTATTTTAGATTGAGCATCTCCGCAGAAGTTACAGTTTTATCCTTTTTTAAGAAATAGAACTGTGTTTCCGAAAGAAGAAACTACAGTTTTAGCATGCAGAAAGGAAAAGGGAGAACAAGCCGCATCAGAAGACGAAAACTCTGCAGGAGTTCTGAATCAAGAGGAGGTACAGTTTTTCTTTTAGTGCCAGTGATGAAAAAAGAAATCCGTTTGTGATTGCTTGTTTGTTCATACACATAGCTTTTTTTTTTTGGACTGAGTCTTGCTCTGTTGCCCAGGCGCTGTGGCGCGATTTCTGCTCGCTGCAACCTCCGCTTCTCTGGTTCAAGTGATTCTCCTGCCTCAGCCTCCGAAGTAGCTGGGACTACGGGTATGCACCACCACGCCCAGCTAATTTTTGTTAGGATTAAAATTGGTTAATCCTAACAAAAATTCAAAAATTTCAAATTTCGAAAATTTGATTTGAAAACCTAGAGATAGGAGTTCACCATGTTGGCCAGGCTGGTCTTGAACTCCTGACCTCAGGTGATCTTCCTGCCTTGGCCTCCCAAAGTGCTGGGATTACAGGCATGAGCCACTGTGCCCAGCCTAACACATAGCTTTTCTTAAAGGCACACAGTGTTCAAAGAGAATCTTTCTTGGAGTGCAGTGGTGTGATCATGGCTCTCTACAGCCTTGAACTCCAGGCTCAAGTGATCCTCCTGGCTTAGCCTCCTTCCTGCCTCAGCCTCCCAAGTACCTGGGATTACAGGTACATACCACTGCACCTGGCTACTGTTTTCTAAATTTTTTTTTTGCCACAGGGTCTCACTGTGTTGCCCAGGCTGGTCTTGAACTCCTGGGCTCAAGTGGTCCTCCTGCTGTGGCCTCCCAAAGCATTGATTACAGGTGTGAGCCACCGTGCCCAGCCCAAAGACAATATTTCTTAAATAGGAATCTTTTGAATGGTGCCCTTGAATTTTTTTTAGATCCTGGTGGGAATGTGAAGATATCTAACTCACTGTTTTCAACTGTCTTCTCTGGGAATGACTCCCAAGTTTCTTTTTCTGGTCTTGACCTCTAGCTACCTGTAGGATAGCAATGTTTGGATATAAATTTATCATTTCGAATTCAAGGTAACCCAATCTGAAGAAGATTGTATCTTGTTCAGTACAAAAGTGCTTAGCCATCTGGAAAGTCCTATGTAAATGCAACTGGATATGGTACAGGATATGGATAAGTTCCCCTGCCTTTTTTTTTTTTTTTTTTTTTTTTAAATTAAAAACTTTGAGACAGGGTCTCACTTTGTCATTTTTTTTTTTTTTTTTTTTGCTTATGGAGATCAATAGTTGTTTGATCATCATTTATTAAAGAGACTGCCTTTTTCCACTGAATTGCCTTTGCACCTTTTCAAAAATCAGTTGTCATTTATGTGTGGGTCTCTTCCTATTTTCTGTCCAGTTCCACTGACCTATTTGTCTGTGTTGACAGTGTCACACTAATTTGATTCCTCTAGCTTTATAGTAAGTTTTAAAATCAGTCTTTCAAAGACATTGTGGCTATTCTAGGCTTTCTGTATTTCCATATGATTTTTGGGATCAGCTTGTTAATTCCTATACAAAAGCCTGCTTGAATTTTGATTAGGATTACATCGAATGAATATAGTCATATGTTGCATAAGGATGTTTTGGTTCATGGATTACATATACAGTGGTGGTCCTATCAGTTATAATACTGTATTTTTCTTTTTTCTTTTTTTAGAGATGGAGTCTTTCTATGTTGGCCAGGCTGGTCTCAAACTCCTGGCCTCAAGCAATCCTCCTGCCTTGGCCTCCCAAATGCTGGGAATACAGATGTGAGCCACTGTACCTGGCCAATACTGTATTTGTATTGTACCTTTTCTATGGTTAGATACGACAGTGCTTACCATTCTGTAAGTCTGTCTATACAGTTCATCAGACATGTTCTGTTAAAAGAGAGATCCAATTATATAGTGGTTTTAATCACCGTTTGTTCTCTCCTTGCCTGATAGTGAATGAGAGCTACAAGTCTGAATTTATAGAGCTAAGGAAGTGGCTGAAAGATAGGAAGTTTCAAGATTCGAACTTAGTGCCTGCTCGTTTTCCAGGTAAGATCTGTCCTTCAGCCGTCCTGCCCTTTCCTACATGACGGCCAGGTAGACAGCAGGGGCAACTCTTGCAGGTGGCATCAGCAGATACTGCCCTTCAGCTGGTTTATAGCTGTGCTCCCCTTGGGTTGGAGGAGGAGCCCCTCATGTGTGGCCATTTAATTGCAGAGCAGTGGGCTTCAGCACTGAGCTGAGGTAGACTGACATTCTCTTCTGGAACTTGCACTTATTATGGAGGTTAGGTTAATGTTTTACCAGGTGCAGTGGCTCACGTCTGTAATCCAGCACTTTGGGAGGCTGAGGCAGGTGGATGACTTGAGCTCAGGAGCTTGAGACCACCCTGGCCAACATGACGAAATCCTGTCTCTATTAAAAATACAAAAATTAGCCAGGCATGCTGGTATGCCCCTGTAGTCCCAGGTACTCTAGAGGCTGAGCTGGGACGATTGCTTGAGCCTGGGAAGTTGAGGCTGCAGAGAGCCATGATGACGCCCCTGCACTCCAGCTTGGGCGAGAGGGTGAGTCTTCGTCTCAAAAAACTAACAAAAACCAAACAAAAAGCATTTTCTTCTGGAAGATTCTCTCACAGAAGTTGGACAGCTTGCTGTGGGTGTGCGTCTGCGTAGATGGCCACTCCACTCTTCCCACAGGTGGGCAGGAGATAGCCACAGGGAGGACCAAGATGCTCTTTAAAAGGATTTGGAGTCTGCTATAGCACAGAGATAATGGTGTAATTAGAGCCCCAAAGTTCTACATCACAGGGCAAGCTATTGACATTTCACCTTATAGAAAAGTTAAAGCATGCCACAGAATGCTTTCCTTGGCGGTTAGAATTATTACTCAGGTACCCATTAGATAATTGAACTTTGAGTAAATTAACGTCCTCATATACCCCCGCTCAGGCAAATGATTTCCCATGTGTGCCCCTTGCTGAGTGAGGGGATGTGTGTAAAGTTGTTCTCCATGAGTCAGTTACACATGATGACTTTGAACTAAAATGCTTGATTTGAGCCATTTTCTAAAGGGCCCCTTCTAGTTGATGGTCATGAACCATGTTGTCATCCTCTAGCATAATGCTTGACTTACTATTTTTATGTGTCAAAGATGATCAGTAAAAGCCACACTCTTAGATGTTACTGAATGGAGTTCTTCCCCAGACGAACAAGAGAGTTAGTAGTTTCAGCAGTAGACTTGCCATGTCTAAGGCCTGCCCACTTCTCAGGTGTCATTTGCCCTAAGAAGGATGGGTTTACAATAATCAAGTAGGAATCAGCAAATGGTTTAGATGGAATACCTGAGAATAGGTCCATCTGTCTATAACTTGGAGCAGTAAAGAGTTCCCATTTTTAAAAGTGAGAACGATCTGCCCTGGCCCCAACCCCAGATTCAGGGCCACGCAGGTGCTAAAGTGCAGTGATTTGGCAGTGATCCGAGCCAGTGCTTACGGTTCTGGGGTCAAGGAACCTTCTGTATATGGAACTTTCATATATTTTTTAGCTCTTAGTCAATGTATGATAGGAGGTAACATTTTTGGGCTTCCGTCAAAATGTACAAAATTCCGGGACTTAGTTTGTGGAGGGGTACAGGAAATCTCCTATGCGGGATTCCATCTGTAGACTCTCTCTTCTTTTCTGCCTTGGGAACTGACAGCATTTCCTTTCACCACCAAAAGCGCTAACCAGATCTGGGCCTCCCATGTAGATTTATGACTGGAAATTTTGAGGCTTTAGGACGTTTGTAAATAATCTTTACTGTTATGAGCTCCTAATGGCCACTTCTACTTTGCCTAGGATATCCAATATAAAAATGAAAGTTAGTGTAGATTACTATATGTTTTTTGATATTAAACACTATCTTTCATAGAAATATAGGTAAAAGATCTTCTAGATGTATTCCAGAGGCCAGGTTTTGTTCATATATATGTTTAGAGAGAAATTTTCACTTATTAGTGCGTAAGTTTTTGGAAGGATAACAATGTAGAAGAAAATCCTCCTGTTAGTAATTGATTCTAGGAGGAGTTCTGGCCCACAGGAATGATTAACTCCATGATGGGGTGCCCAAAATCAGTAAAATAAGTTCTTAATACCAGAACCAGCTGTATGAGCAGACAGTGTCCTCCTGGGAGGGGAGTTAAATTGGGACTCATCAAATCCAACTTGCCGGGAAACTGATGGGAGACTTGAGGCAGGAATTCCCACCTTGAGCCAGGAGCTCCCAGTAGTCCTGCATTGACTTGGCTGAATTATTTTTCCTCCCAGCTAAGAGAGGAAAGGTGAAGAATGATGAATTGGAGACATGACTACTCTAGGCCTCATATGGTCATATAATCCCTATGCCTGCCAGAAAGCTGTCATCTGAGCATCCTTTCAATGTTCATCTGCCTGTTCCAGGAACAGAAGCTTAGGCATGGAGGGAGAAACTTCTGGAAGTTGGTGGGACATTAATCCAGCTGCTGAGGTTACTATGGTGACTGTGCTCCAGCCAGAACCTTGGCTCACAGGGAACAGCTGGATCTGACCTACCCGGCTGAGCTCAACAGGTCCTGCAGAGCCTATCTCATGGGTTACCTGATCATAGAGGGGGGGATGTCTGCAGTCTTTGTGGGGACTTGAGTGGGGTTTAGTGGCTAGCCGGACAATCAGAGGGGTCTCAGGTCTTTACTCCGGAGAGCTGAGTCTGGCAATGGGGATAAGAGCCTGGGGCTCTAGCTTCAGAGGTTGGCTGGGCGTTGGGAGTAGCCCCTCATTAGCTGGTAGGCCCCAGAGGAGAAAGTTCAGCTCAAAGCTTCCTGCAAGAGGCCCAGCAGTAGATCTGTATAAAGTCCATGGTGGTCTTTAGGTCTCACCTCTGAAGTTGACTCTGCCCTTCAAGATTATACCTCACTGGAGGTCAGGGCATTTTCTGGAATAGCTTTCTGACTCCCTGTTTTCCCTGGGAATTAAAGGCTGAGAGACATCCAGCTTCAGCCTTGTGTAATTTTGAGGTTCACATTTTTTTTTTTTTTTCCCGTAATGGTATCTCTAGGACCTTGAAGGGATAGTGGGATTTATTTGTTTTTCTTTCTTTGCTTTCCTAGGTACAGGAAGAGGGCTGATGAGCCAAACATCCCTGCAGGTGAGAACTTTTCTTTTATCCTTGAAACCCAATGTAGATTTTGCTGCTTTGTTTTTGTGGTTTAAACAAAGTGGATTAAAAATATTTCAGACATACAGTCATTTCTTACTTACCTAATAGATATGTTTGAATATGGTTCTATCAACCAGGATTAAGTTTGTTGCAATAAAAGACAAGCCCAAAGCTGAGGTACGTAAGCAGCATGGAAATTTATTCTGTTCTCACCCGGAGAAACAAGCTTGGGGTGGGCTGACCCGGTCTGGTGGGACAGTCCTCTGGCCAGCAAAGGCCCCAGCTCCTTCCAGCTCTCTTATGTCCTTAAGGGAACTGCACCTGCAGATCAGGGTGTGGGTCTTGGAACCTGAGCAGCAGGAGAGAGCAAGGGGGTGAGGAAGGGCAGGCCTCCTCCCTTTAAGGAAAGTCCCTTCCCTACGTCCTTGGATATCAATTAGGTACACGGCCCTGGCCAGCTGCAAGGGAGGAGAGACGTGCTGGCCTTTCCCCAGCTGTGTGCTCTCTAAGTAGGATTCTGTTAGTGAGGAAGGGGAAAGAAGGGATGTTGGGATAGGCAGCTAGCTGTCTCTGCCACAACACATGTTACGTGTCAGATCATATTTTCAGTGTGCAAAGGGAGCTGCTGCTGTTTGTGAGGAAGCCATGGTGTGGCAGGTAGAAGCCAGAGTTGGGGAGGGCGAGACCTCAGGCTTGGGCCCCAGTTGCCTTCAGCTGCCTGGGGGCCCTAGCATGAGACCTCTCATCCTCTCGACTTCCGTTTCCTCACCTACAAAATGAGGAAGTAAATGAGGATCTCCAAGGTTTCTTTTCATTCTCCCAATGCTGTTTTAAAGGATCTGTAATACACAATTTTATGTAAAGCTAGAAGTTAATTTCTTCTTTTATTTAAAAATTATCTTATTTTTAATTCTTTATTTAAAACGTTCACTCACATGTGTACATATGTTTTGCCTAAGGAATGGTGTTTTTTTTTTTTTTTAAGTAGATAAATATTTTTTTTTTTTTTTTTTGAGACATATAGTCTTGCTGTATCGCCCAGGCTGGAATATAGTGGCGTGATTTCAGTTCCCTGCAACTTCCGTCTCCTGGGTTCAAGTGATTCTCTTGCGTCAGCTTCTGAGTAGCTGAGATTACAGGCATGCACCACCGTGCCCAGCTAATTTTTTTGTATTTTTAGTAGAGACAGGGTGTCACTGCCTCGGCTAGGCTGGTTTTGAACTCCTGACCTCATGTGATCTGCTCACCTCGGGATTACAAGCGTGAGCCACTGTGCCTGGCCCAAAAATAATTTTAATTGTTGAAAATGTTGTGTTAAAAATATAAGTTTTTAAAATATTAAAAGAAAGTATAATTTTTTTAAAATGCAAGCACAGTCAGCAAGGGAATTCGGGTTATGTTTCCTAAACAGGTGAAAATCACAAACACAAGAAGTCTAATGTCTAAAGAATGGTATCTTTTAATGTTGTGATTCTGTTACACTGTGTTAATGTTTTCATCATTTAAACATTTTAATTGTGGTAAAATATATGTAACATAAAACTTACTATCTTAACCATTTTGAAGCTCAGTAGTATTAAGTACATTCATATTGTTGTGCAATATTTTTATTTTTGGAGGAAGGTGTATTTTATTCCGTAGCAGAGTTTGGGGATGAGAAATGTCAGGTAGCAGTAACTGTAGGTAGTTTTTGTTTAGATCGTGAAACAATTGTTTTACATGTACATTCAAATGCAGTTGTTTTGTCAAAACTTTTTGAAAATTGAGACATATTTTACATATAGTGAAATGCACAGTGAAGTGTGCAGTTTGCATTTTGATGATAAAGAGATTTACCTGAGTATTTTCAAACCGGAAGATCGTAGGATGTTGGAATGGGAAGTAACTATGGTGATCATCCAGCTTAATCTTGCTTTACAGATGAGGAAAGCAGAAATTGATCCCAGAAGATTTTTTGGCTGAGATTTTTTTGTTTTGAGGCTGAGACTTGCTCTGTTGCCCAGGCTAGAGTGCAGTGGCGCCATCTCGGCTCACTGCAACCTCTGCTTCCTGGGTTCAAGCGATTCTCCTGCCTCAGCCTCCCGAGTAGCTGGCATTACAGGCGCCCACTGCCACACCCAGCTAATTTTTGTAGTTTTAGTAGAGACAGGTTTCACCACGTTGGTGAGGCTGGTCTTGAACTCCTGACCTCAGATGATCCAACCGCTTTGACCTCCCAAAGTGCTGGGATTACAGGCATGAACCACTGTGCCTGGCCTTGGCTGAGATTTTTAACCAACTTAGATGCCAGTTAAAATTAAAGGAGAATCTTATATCTAGCTTCTTAGTGCTATGTCTTATATCTAGCTTAGTGCTTTACTTAGATGTAAAGTAATGTTTTCTATTACTTTACATCTAATTGTTCTTTCTATGGTTCTATCTCAGGAGACACTGAAAATGATACTTTTGCAAGTGGTAGAATTCGATCCTTATTGTGTTGGGCAGGCCGATAGGTGTGGGTTATGTAGAGAGCAGATCATTGCCTGGCCACTTGGATTTCACTGGATACAATTTTTTTGGGGTAGTTTCTGTCTGTTTCCTGTTGGTAGCACTATTTCCTGGCATAAGAAAGCAAAGAAACAGTATAATTTGAATTGTTAAAGTGTTTCCAGCACTCTGTTTGGTGAGGGGTTGACTGCTTGTGGGTGTCAGTCACATACTGAACCTTTAATGTTTGTTGGGGTTGTGGGATCTGGCATTGGAGCAGCCTCGTGTGCATCTGCTGACTTTCGGAGTTGGGAGCTCCTCCATTGGTGGGCTCATTGGTGGCTTCTGGTTGAGTTAGAGTGGGTTCTTGGTAGGTGATGTGGGGTCAAACACTTGATAAGACTCATACTTATGGGTCCTTCCCAAAGCACAGGCATCCTCAACTTTACTTTCCTTTTGACCAGGAGGGACAGATGATTATTTCATTGCCAGAGAGTTGCCTGCTCACCACTGACACAGTGATTCGAAGCTACCTAGGGGCGTACATTACTAAGTAAGTGACCACATGCATGCTTACCTGCTGCGAGTGCTGCTCCTTAAAGTCTGTCACTGGCAAATATGTCATTTGAAATGGAATTCATTAGGACCCAGTCCCTTGTAGAGCTGATAAATACCTGAAATGATTTGAAAAGTTTACGCTTTTCTAGAAAGTTTCTTCTTAATTCACTGTAAACCATATTTTTAAGGTTTTCAATAGGCTTCCTGGGGTGTGGGTATGAGTCCTGATCCATCACTTACTAAGAAATAAAGATTAAATGGGATAACATATGTAAGTCAGAGTGCCTCAGCTTTCAGTAAGCCTGTTTTCTTCCATCATAGTAGCTCTTGACAAATTTATATTACTGTCTCTTATTTCTACCCTTACTGTACTTCAGTTTTGCTTTAACCTGAAGAGCTGTTGACATGACGAAAGAATTAGTTTTATTTAGGTATAGAAGAGAGGAGGCTGATGTGGGAGTTGTCTTCTGGTTCTGCTGGGCCTTTGTTTGGGGCATTTTGAGGGCAGAGTGAGAGAGACCTTCAGTGGAAGGGATTTCTAAATTATGAGGGTTGAAAGAGGATGCTGTTTCTTTCTTTCTTTTTCTGTCTTTTTTTTTTTTTTTTT